CACTTTCGGTACTGCACACGGGGGTCTTGCAAGGAATACACATGAAGATAAAGAAAATCCTCGCTCCTGAGGCACCCTGAACAAAGAGATGATATCCTGCATGAAGGGTAGGTAAGTCGGTCTTGGCCGGCATTGGAGGAAGGCTATGATTTTGATATTGATGCGATTGTGCCTCCACTCCACTACAACGGCAGGTGAACACCCCAGAAGCTTCCACAGTCCATATATATATATACACATGTTGAATAGGTTGAACGATCCCATCGATTTGAATTGTTTCATCTTGACAAACTGACATCTCAGCTGATCGGGATACCAGCTCCAAAACAACTCTTGAAGTGACCGAGAGCACCCCGAGCGAAGTCGTCACATCCACCCTCCACACCATGGCCTTTTGGGCAAAGAGGCCAGTTCTTGCACTGCCTGTTGGCAGTTGAAGTTATGCCTTGGTGATTTCCCAACAGACATGGATCTCCATGCAGACCAATGTCACCAACAATTCCATCAAACTCTTCTGCATGTGCACATCCACCGGTTTGGAATGGTTTTGACACAAGCAGCATCAACCAATAGACTTGTAGAACAGAAACACCGGGTTGCATTATCAGTTCTGCTCAATCCAAACCAATCAAAGAGTGAGCTCCAAAAGACATCCTTAGTCACTTGCTACTATTCACATCTTCTCATTCAGAGGCCCACATTTCTGCCATGTTTCTTGGCAAGCCAGAATAAGAAGACAGAGACCCATGCCCCTTGACTCGGGCCGCAGCATGCAATGCAGCGCGAGGCCCAACTTCCCCAGCAGCGAGGCCAAGGACAAGGACTGGGTGACGCAGCGCGACGAGTCACGAACCGCTCGGTGTGGGCACTTCCTCTTCGCCCGGATGCGGCATTCTTGACGACTTCCTCCACACGAAAAAGCCACACATAAAAAGAGTGTTGCCATGTTTTCCCAAGTTTTTTTCCATGTGAGTTGTGGGAGTGTGGTTCAAGTAGAATCGGCCAAAACGCTGCCAAATATCCTCTCCAAGAAGCACAGAAGCGGCACGCTGCGACATGATTCTCTCATTGTACCAGGATACTCTATTTGTTCCCACATCTTTAACTCAGGGACCACCTCTGTCAAGCCCCAACCACCAAGCAGAAGGATGCGCAAGGGAATCTCGAAAGACATAACAAAGAAGCTGAACAAATATAAAGAGACACCTTAATGCCAAGAATGATAATACAGTCACCTCGCCATAGGTCCTATATAATTATATCAAATACATATATATACATATATTATATACATACATTGGAAGACATGTCCAATACATGTTGTTTGTTTTACTGTTTTTGGATAAAATGGTCAAACACAATTCTATTTTGGGAGTGAACATCACGTCTCCTTCTTATTTTGGGATTGAAACTCGACCGCACCGGCTCTCCAACCCGACCGTACGGCGCCTCACCGGAGTGGGGACCGACCTCCTGTTGCAGGAAGCAGCAAGCAACCAGGAAGCATCATTAACATGGTTTTCTTTATCTTGGTTCTATTCTGTTTTAAGGCTGTCCTTTCTCTATATAGACCTTTTTGTGGACCTTATTTTTAGGTCTTTGGGACTGTCATGCCTGGGAATGGACTTTTCACGGACCGACGAAATAGAGCCCTGACAAGAGGAAACAACATGTAACAAATCTTCTTCCGTCGATGCGTTGATTCTTTCTGACATACTTCAGCTGTTCCGGCATGTTGTTCCCACTGGTTTGCCGTTTAGGATAATTTATGCAGTCTCCACTAGTCTTTAGTCATGATCTGGTCTCGACTACACTTATTGAGGTTCGAGTGCACCTATAGACTCTTCAAGAGGTTCGACTACAGTCTGGTCACTTGTATCCTGGTTGCGCTGGTTGCATGAGGTTTGGAACACCCACATGGGTGCATATAGAAATAGGGAGACCTCCCAAAGACTCCCTCTCGAATACACGAATCAAAGCATCTCTTCACTTACCACTGACCTGCTTCCCCTGCCTGCAAGCTCCGCCGCGGGGCAGCCTCCTGCAATATGATTGCCGGGCCATGGCCCTCTCTGGTGAATATGGAATCATATGAATTATTCGATCTGAACAAGGGTTTGCTGTAATTATTCTATATGCTAAATTTAACAGATATTATTCTTACTGCTATTGGCAATTGGTAGTAATCAATGACTCCAGACTAAGCTGTAGCCTAAACGAGTTTGCTCCATGATTGCTTCAACAACTTGGGCCCCAGGTTTCTTGCAGAACATTGGACTTCTATATAGACCAAACCCACCAAACCCGCTGAAAAGGGTGGTCTTCCACAAGAGGAGTGTGTTCAGGTGCCAAGCTGAACTCGCCGAACCACTTTTTTCGGACACTTTGACATCCTGGGAAACATAATCTATCATAATCTGACAACTTGCAGTTGTTGCCCATCACTTCTGTCTCCATCGAAACTCTTTCAGCCTCATGTGAAGGCACTTTCCTCTCATCGGGTGAAGCTCCGTCCCAAAAAACACTCGTCATCTGCACCATCGTCTCATGTCAAGATCCTCCTCCACGCCCATCCCGATCGCTTCACAGCGTCGCGTCGATCGCGTCGCGTTCGGCGAACAAGCGCGGCCTTCGGCAGCTCCGACCGGCTCCAGCTTTCCCGTCGGTCCTCGGAGCAGGCCGGAGAAGGAGGGACAAAGGTCCCGGTGTTTGGGGAAATCCATGGGACATCCATATGAGGTTCCAGGATAGCAAGGCTGGAAATCCACGGCAGCTCTGCAATGAGCTTGCGGTTCAAAACTCAACTGATCTCAACTGTTTTGGTGAATTGAGCCACATTTGAATCAAGGTGTTTTAACCATTTGGCTTCTTTATGGCTGGGTCGATTGTTCTTTCATGGTTTTACACTGTTGTCCGCATGCGTTGCGTTCTTTTTCTGCACGGCAGTCTACACATGTCTACAATAGTCTACTATAAATCCATAGATTGGTACCTGTGCAAAGTCTTAGCCACAGGACTCCAGATCTCGACGAGCCGGTTCGCCATGGACCGGTTTCATGGCGCTGTCCTCCCCTGGATACTCTCCCCTCCCCCATCAACTGTCACTTCCCTCTACAGACTACAGGGAATGCTGCACTGCTCCAAGCAACCAGAAGTCAAACACAGGGACAGCCAAACTTTTTGTTGAACATGTTTGGACATGGGAAGTTTGGTGAAGCACATAGCTTTGGGCTTCGTGTCCCTGCATCCATCCTCAATACATTTGAAGAATTTCATAGCATTTTGTCCTCCATGATCATGCCTCATATGGCCACCCATGATTTACAGTGGTTTCAGGAGTAGATGGCACCATCTCCATCCAGGTCGATCCAGGCGCCCCCAGCGGTGGTGGATCGCCGGGGGCCCTTGGCCTCTGCGCGGGCCTAACTGGGGGACGGTGGCCATGAGGTCGGGTCTGACCACATCGGGTCTGACCGTCTCCTGGTTTTCTGAAACTCTCATCCTATCATTGGGTATAGTGCTTTTCTGTGATCAACTCTATAGTAAATATCGCGGACTGATTATGCCGCTGTGCTCGGCGAAGCAGAGCAGCAGCGACGCAACTCTAGCAAATAAATGAGGTCCAACTGACCTATAGGGATTGAGTTTCAGGACTATGAGTTGCTTCTTGATTCTGCGGCAATCTCTCATGGAGGCTGAAAACCTGTACAAATCCCACTCAGAACCCAGTGTTAGTCGTTTGATCCACATCCACATATGTCACATAATGGAGGTTAGGTGCCCGTAGGCCTTAGCAAAACACGCTTGGATGCCTTACAACTCAACATAACTCAACTAAAACATGTCAAAGAATCCTTGACAAGCCCAGAAATCTGCCGGGATAAAGTTATGACTTCGACCAGTCCATTCTGAAGCTAAACATACATAGAAGTTCACTTAGCACTAGAACTTGTTACAAGTACCCTGTACTGAACGGAGAAACGGAGATGATTCACCTGTTTTTCTCTGTGAAACCTCCTGGTGAAAACCATCGGTCCGACTTCTGGAGCCCAACCGCGCGCCTCGCACGGCCCGGGCTGTGGCGCCCAAACACCCGTGGATTCATCGCGAAATGGGCCAACTCGGACTACACTGGACTACCCAGATCAATCCACCTCCCTGGAACTGACTTATGAACTTTCCATCCCAAACAGCCGGAGAGATACCAAACCAACACCCAAACCGAAACACCAGATCCACACCACCAGATCCTCAAAATACAAACCAAGATACATCGCAACAAAAAGACCTGAACATACCCGAAGCTCCCTCGTTCACTTCGCTATGTTTGCATCTTCGCACTCAACACGATCCTCCTGAGCCTCCCAGCCGTCGAGGGCCGTCCGGAGGAGGTGCGGCTCCTCAGTTGGCGAGGCACGTGGGCATCGGCAGAATCCAAAACGAAGAATCTGGTGGTCACCCATTGAGGCTTTCTAGGCCCAGAGATGCCCAGATCTTGAAAGACGGTGGCATGCCATGGCATGCCATGGCATGCGGCATATGCCGCATGCACTCATCCCAAGCGTTCTCAAGTACAACTAGAGGATTTGAAAGTCAAGAGGTTCAACATCACCAACCACAAGTTCTATTCCGGGCGAATGTTGACCTGTATGGCCCAGTATACGCCAACTGCTGTAACAGGCAAATGTAGCATGCAGCATACAAGAACAATCTTTGTGGAGCCCACATAAGCCTACTGTCAGCAACTTCTCTTCACTATTTTACAAACCAATGCTGGCTCATCCAGTGACGTCACTCAGTCGTCGCGCTACCGATGAGTTTTTCGACTGACGTGCAGCACGGTCAGGCACAGTCAGGCAGGTGCGAGGCCGCTGGGGGCCTAACATCCTGCGAGAGATACATGGCTCCAAATCCTATCCAAACTCCTCCAAAATCCCCGATCTGACGCTTCTGGCATGTTCTGGCACGGCAACCCCCCCAATATCCTTTAAAGCACACGTGGGACTTGAGCCGTTTAAAACTTAAGATCTGGAGGCCTCGGAGTTTAGAACATGAAATTTGGCAGGGCAGTGCAGGTGTGGGCATCAAGCTGCCTGGAACTTCTCTCATTGGCTCATTCAGGTCCCTCACTTGATCTGGCCAGTGCCGCCCTCGAGGCGCTCAGGGGCCACGTCCAGTCCAGCGCGGATGAAGCATGGCTGAAGCATGCGCCGATCTCCGTGCCGATCTCCGAGCGGCCCACCGACCTGGCCAGCTCAGTGGGAATGGAACTTATTCGAACCTTGGGTAAATATCATGGCGAAGTCTTGGAATCTTTGGATGATCATTATAGACATATAGACCATATAGATGATACATGAAGTAATCCTCAAATTCTGAGGATGAAGAGACCCTGTGTTTCACTCGATGCGGCTCCTGGCCTCCAGCTCCTCAGCGTGCATCTCTCAGCTATGCCGGAAGGACAACACGGGGACGGTGCTGGTGCTGAAGCAGGGACTCTATGGGAAGTCACAAACACCTCGGTGTCTGCAAAGAACTGAAGCGACATCTCATAATCAATATTTAACCTCGAACAAAAGTGCATGTTCATGCATGTTCATGCTCAACATCCACTGAACAGCTTCCCTTCAAACGAGTCTGAGAATACCGCTGAAAAAAACCTGCAGTGTCAAAAGACTTTCATGCTGGACAACACCCAGAACACAAAGTGCCAATTTGAAGTATTCAAGCAGTAGTAAAGTATTGAAGCAAACAAACACATAGATAATCCATGATAATCTCACATATTTTATATACGTGGATCCCAGAATTTGGCCCTTTCGGTCAACATCGTTCTGAATCAAATGAGCCACACTGAGAGTAGGCGAAGAGCAACATCCTCAAATTCACCTTGGCCAAGCACGAGGTTCGGGTCAACGTCGGCATCATCGTATCGTATGGCCTGAACACAGCCCTGCCAGTCCAGTCCCTTCCCTTCACCCAGCAGATCGGGCAGCCGAGGCGCTAAGAAGGCAGTACTGCCCGCCAACAAGGCAGAAGAGACGATCTGAAGCCATGTAAGGTCCTGCAGTGCTGTTGTGATGTGTCATTTTATAACAACTCATGAGTATTTTGTGAGATATCCACATATCTCACAGGAGATGTCCAAGCCAACTGATGAACAATCAAGGACCTCTTGCTTTTTTCCCCCCAAACTGCCCATCCTTGAGACGGCTTGAGCTACCCAAGAATTACCACATGAGTTGCGTTCTCCACAGTCGGCTGCGTCCTGATCCTCCATGCTTAGCGTCACCTGGAAGCTCAGCCTCGCTGGTGGTGAAACAGCCACCGCACTGGGTCGATCGAGAAGAGACAGAAGTTCTCACCTGGGGCTACTAGGCTATGGTGGATGCTACAGAACCAGCAAAAAAGAACTTAGGTATGTGAGATCGATGGACTGGGCCAGAGCGAATGGACTGGCGTCTCATTCTTGAACCTGTTTCCAGTCTTGAAGCTGTTTCCATTCTGAAGCACCCAGCGGGGGGCTGACCCAAACCATACATACTTTTAGATGTTGTCCAATCCTATTGTGATAGCTATATAAGTAACTTCAAAAAAGAGTAAAACGTCTCATAGAGAGACAGAGAGAGTTTTTGACTTGACCATGATTTTCCATCTGCATCTTTGCCAAGGCACGCACCCAGGAATGCAACATTGAAGCACCACCAATGCCACCGATGGTTCTCCTGGCATAAACTCAGGAAGAAAATACCACAATGTATGGGTTGTTCCTCCAAAATGAGGTGCTGCCCTCAAGAAACATGCATATGTTTGCAGGGCCCCTCAATGTCCATGATCTTCTATTCCCCCCTCTCGACGATAGCTGGTGGCCTGTGAAAGGATGGCTTGGAAAGTCAAACCAAGTTGGGTGTTCTGAACACCCTAACTAACTTGCCATTCATAAGAATAGTCTCCCCATTGCCATCTCCTACTCATCTCACCTGCTACACCTTGTCGGACATATTCGGAATATTTCAGACTGATCTATTTATATACATGCTAAGACAGAACATGGATCCGCTCCCCCCTTTCTTGCGCTTTTGGCACTCAAAGTGACGCTCGGTTCTCCTGTTGAAGCCTCTGATACGTGGTCAACAATGAGAGCTCACAGCAAAGTACAGTCGAAAGAGCCCTGCAAAGCCGCCTTGGTGCATCGGCAAAACTGCAGGGTCTGCCGTCGGATCAATTCTTGAGAAGTAGTAGTAATGGCCTTCAACCTACTAGCCATGGCCTCCAACCTAATAGTTTCTTGTTACTATGGGAAGCTTCAAGATCTTGAAGCACATGGTGCTGCCAAAGGCTCGGGGTCGTGGCACCCTGCCGTCCCAGGAATGCCAAAAGCAGGAAAGAAGCGAAGACCAATGGCCTGGGATCTTCCAACGCAAATCCAAACGAATGGACTTGGCAGGTCTTGACAGGTCTCCAGGTATTTCATGTTCAGGCAAGCATTAATTATGTGTCCTGCGACGATGACACCCATAAGTTGTTGGGACCCAACAAGTTCAGGATGTGAACATGTGGACATGTGGGAGAAAACAAATACACTCTGACGAACACATGAAGTGGAACAACTCCAGTTTCTAAAGGAACACATAGTCTTTGTAAGACATTTGTAGGAGCATGGCTCACTTCTATCGCTTCTACGTACCCTGAAGGGTGTCTGTGCATGCCTTCTCTCACCAAGCAGCACGCCAGATGTCCACACGGTCGTCGTGCTTGGAATCTCCCGTGCGAGGCGATGATAGCCCTGAAAGAAGCCGGTCGACCTCGGATTTCTCTCTTAAGCAAAGCCTTGGAAATCCAAAGAAACAGGATGATTATATATATATATGTCTTCTCCAACCAAAAACTTCCATCAAGAATCTGAAGTACCTCAGCCTCAACATGCTCTTAGCTTGGTGGCACCTCTGGCTCATGGTGCCAACTTGGGTCTTGATCCCGAACCATCCATTCTTCACCACTTGTAGCTTGCCACACTGTGGCCGAGAGCCACCGACTCCGCCAGCGACGTTACCAGCGTTACCCACTGACCATTTCGATGAACAAACATTCCGAACAAGCAAGCGTATCCTGTTTTTTGGGGTGTATTTTGGGTCGGCCGCGCGGGCAGGTAGTTAGCGCATCTTTTCTGTGACCTCCGTGTTGGGGCAAAAAACTGGAGGTAAAGATTGTCTGTTGGCCGTGGGAAACCAAGGAAATCTGGGGTTGTGCGAAACATGTAATGCTTCTTTTCAGAGATATGAACACATCTCCCATAGATTTAGCAATCTCCTGTTCAGTCGTCAATCAACCCTACCCCCAAAATATTGGCATATCTTAATTGTCCCTCGTGTGTGAGGACACCCTCTTGCAGTGTATCTCAGGATTTCTATACTCCCTTCCCATGATGTAAGCAATCCATGGATGGGTGATTAAACACAGCTCAATGGGTCTTTAGCTCATTTTGTATCCCGCCGCAGTCTTTAGATGATCTGGTGAACTTGAACTTAACTATAGTGACTATATAGACTATATAGAGTGGACCCTCTGTATCACCTCTGGATCCACCTGTTCATCCAATAAGCGGTCACAACCATGTCAGTTGTTCCCACAATCATTGGTTTCAAGCATTGGTTTCGCAACAAGGACATCTAAATGTCAAACAGCTTCTGCTTCGTGTCCTGATTTTGTGACCCACGTCCATCCCAGCGGCTCCAGCGGAGGACAACGACGCCCAAAACCAAATCCCACCACGCCCACGGCAGCGCAACGCAGGAGCTCCGTGCAGGGAGCGACGGAGCGACGCCTCAGTGATGACCCAAGGAATCGCTACACTGGTAGCTCTGAAAGAAAGCACGTGGTGATAGCTGTCTTGGTGGTGTGTAGAATGCACAAAGCAAAATCTGTACCTATAGAACATATTTCGACCTCTGACCTCTGCTTTGAGAGGACATGGCTGTATTTTGGGTGGTGGGTGGTCCAAAATAGAGGTCACTCAGGTCCTATGAATTATATATGTCTGTAATAATTTGTGTGTGTTGCGGATCTATTGGGTCAACCAAGAGCGTGGGATTCAGACCGTGGGATTGGTTGATCTCTGGCGCATGAGCCGGTCACTGCTGAGTTGCCTCACGCCATGACAGTGGGTTCTTGGCAAATGAGTGGCAAACAGCGGTGCAGGTCAGCAGAAATTCACTCAGAGAGGCAGGAAGGAAAATGAACGAGGTGCTCAAAGGCCTGTTTCATACTCCCGTCCTATGACCAATTGGAGGAAGTGCATTTTGATCCAAACAAAGCACACAGTCTCACGTTTCTCCAGTCGAGATGCAGGAAGGGCCATTCTTCTACGAAAAGCAGTGGTAGAGTGGTTGGAGTCCACGATGACAAGCGCAGAAAGGAGCTCAGCCTGTGCTGTCCGAGGCTCAGGACTGCTCGAATTGACCACCACTGGTGGACGAGAGGTTATGGAAATGGACACGAGGTGTTTGAGGGGTGACCTTTTTCTGGAAGACGCACCCCCCCAAGTAGACCTGAAAACCAATCGGCGGAGGCTGCACATGTTGCCGCATGCAAACTGCCACATCGGACGATCGCACTAACTCGGCCTCCCTCTCCAAACGTCTGTGTCCCACGCATTCGTCCTGTTGGATCCTGAAACCACCAAGGCCAACCGCCAAGGCCATCCTTTTCAGAAACAGCTGAAACGTGACAATCAAAGATCTGTCGTCAATACTGTCTGATGCACCACCGAGTTTCTTTGTCCTTAGTATCCAAGGATATAGGGCTGGTGATGGGAACACTCATCACTCACCAAACCACTTCGACCACTAATTCAATGGAAATACTTCATATATTGATTAAAAACGAATACAAAACTCAACATCTGTTTGACGAGTTTCCTCAAGCCTTTGCGACGCCTCACGCTTCCGCCCAAACCGCCCGAGCCTGCCCAGCACGAAGCTCGCGAGGACACCACGGAGGAGCTCCGGAGCTCCTGCCAAGGTCGAGGGCGAGGTCGCACAGCGAGGTGGCAACGGGTCCGCAAGCTCCGAAGAAGTCATCCGAATGGAGAGTCCTCCGTGCTACCAGAGGTCGAAGGGTGTGCAGCCGGCCGTGGGGTTTTCTCATGAATTGGTTCACTGGTCCCACTAAGACCAGTCACGAATGGGTTGAAAAATGTTGAAAAACATAAATGTTGTCCTTTTGTGATCTTTTGTGTGTCATTTAGTGCTCCACTGACCACTCAGCCTTACCCCAGTCCAACAGGTACGACGACCTCCCCACCTAGCAGCGTGGCCCACTGCCCAGCCCCATATGCCACAGCAAGGCCCAGCAGCAGTGCCCCACGTGGCGGGCGCATCACATCACCTGGAGCGGCCGGTCATTCGACGAGCTTCACCACTCAAAAAACACACAGTCCGCTGGAATTCCCCTCTTAATGAGCAACCTATGCAGGTCAAAAACTGGACAGCTTGATTCGTGATGGAAAAAACGTGTTTCTTGATGCTTTCCTGATAAGCAGGGTACTACAAGTGTCAGTATTGTGGCCAAGAAAGAGTCCGCAATGACCATGAACATGATTTAAAGCATTCTGACGCAAAGCACCACTCCGTCACAGCACCACTCCGTGCTGCCGCAAAGCCGTAAATGTTCTTCCATCCAACGTCGTCTTCTTCAAGTCCTGTCACCGAAGCGTGACTCACAATCGGAACATGCACGTCATCAGTTTCCCTTTCCCCAGTACAATACAAATGCTGGTCCTTCAAAATTACCAGTGTTTTATCCGATCAACTCCAGTAAAATCAGGTCTTTGACCTGTAGAGTTGGGCTCATTTCAATATCTTCACATCACTGAATATCGCTGAATCACATCTCCCAGCAAAACCCACTCACACCGCCAATCTTCCTTGCCTCCGATGAAACAAATCCGAAGCTCCTTGATTCCACTGCATTCGCCACAAAGAAACCGGAAACCGTCCCTCTCTGCCTCCGTCTCTGCTCTCTTTCAGATTGGGATCGCTCGTCCTCAGTTGGTGGAGACCTGGCAGATCGACACGGTCCCCGAAGAACCATGTTCCTGTACAAACCGCTGTTTTCAGGGTCCAACTTGCCTGGGGGGGAAGTTGGTGATTCATTTGGTTATTGTATAATTAAGTGGTTTATTTCCTCTGAGTCAGGCTTCGTCACTGACCGCCCACCCCTTGGCTCGTGCGTCATGGACAATAACGCGATCTACTTTTCAGCGTCTGCCCATCAACCAAATGCTATGATGATGGGTACTGCAATTGATGTAGTCATACAACCCTCCACACTAGCATCCAAAAGCAGAAGTACCTGTTGCTGGAAAGTGAGAGCTATGTCTGAGCCGGCCTAGATGGTCCACGTGTCAATAACTCGACATGTTGTCCCCAAGCTCTAGGCCTTGAGGGACAGCCGCTCTAGTAACAAGGGCATCGCTACTGGTCACAAGGTTTGTTCAGTGACTCGTCCTCGCTGGTCTGAGGGCCATCGCACAGGATCAACTGCAGTATGAATGTTCAGCCCTGAAAATGTCCGTGTAAGGTTGTTCTCAAGTCTGCCCTTTTCCTATGTGATAGGGAGCCACCAGTCGAAGCACAAACATACTGTACATCTGCCACCTCAGGACGTCAGCCGCACACACACACACACTATCATCAATAAAACTAATGAATGACCACATGTACTGGCTGGCTGTGGAATCAAACTTCGAAACAAGTTGGCTGAGTTCTCTCACCTGGAAGGAACACTTTTCTCCACCGGTTCGCGAAAAAGTATCGCACACCGAAATCTCCATCCCCCCATGGTTTCGTACCTCCCACACCGAAACTGTGCAGCAAAAGAACACCTGGGCCAAGCGCCACGGTTTGGATGGTCGAAAGCGAGATCAAACATGATACGTATGAAACAGGCACAATACACGGTGGTTTCTTTCTTTCTTTTTTTGCTCTCAAAGGGGTGATCTTGAGCATATCTGCAAGTTCCATGTGGGTGTCCTAGAGGAAATGACTGGAACCTTTGCACCCAATCTCCTTGGTGAGTCCTGCCAAAGCCTTTTTGGGGGGGCCAAGAGAAGAGAAGTGTTCAGATCCTACAGTAACCACAAAGCAAGATCCCAAGCGGCTGGCATGTCGCTGCATCGCTTTGGTCGTCTCCCTCACACTTCTGTGCTCTTGCTTTCATCCAAAATTTAACCAAGATTCTCCACCAAATCTTCTTCAAAGTTCTCTTCTTTCTACCCAGAACCTCTCCTGTGTTGATAGGGTGTGCCCACGGAAAAGAAAAACGACCCACAAATACAAAATTACCTCCAGGCTTCAGGCGCCGCACAACCACACTGCTGACCAGGCCTGGCAATAGCACCAGGACTACCTCCTTAGGCCAGCGATGGATGAAGTGTCTCACCAAGTCCAAACCTGCGCGGGCGCCGGCAGGCGCGGGCGCATGCATTCTGCATGATCCATATATAAAGCGACATATATATTAATACAGTATATTATGTGGTTTTAATTGACTGTACAACATTATACACCTTCTCCAAGTGGCTATATTATTATACGGTTCGTGGGGTTGCTTGCAAGTGGCTTGCAAGTTCATACCCGAGCACCAAATCTTTCTTCAGGGTTTGCAAGTTGTACAGGGCAATATTCTATCGTTCGGGTCTCTTTGTTTTCTGCGAGCAAGGTGAGATTTGTTCAAGATGACTGCTAGTCCCCCAGTCTGGTAGCTGCAGTTGGTTGTTCTTGCCGTATTCCTTCTCTTCTCACTGTCTTCACTTCGGCTTGCTACTGCTGATTTGAGGAGCACTCCCCCCTTTAGTATCTCGTTGTTCCTTCTCAAACAATAACAAACATCTGCAACTCTCACCATAACCAGGAGCAAACGCCTGGGGCGAGCCATGGACCTGTAATTGCCCTTGTCTGCCCTCAGAGTCTATCTCCTTCCCTCACTCCCTCTCCTTCTTTTCCTCCTTTTCTACCCTCCAGTAGTAACTCCTATACGGGCTCGGACAGATTACTCCGTGCCCTCCAGAATTTGAATTACAGACCTTTGCTTCATCTCTATTCTTCAGTCTTTCTGGTTTGTTTTCCTCTCGCAGCGTGAATTGAGGCCAAGCCTCTGGTCGCTAAAAAAACAGCAAAAGGAGTAGAAAGGCATCTGAAGACTTACAGAGAAACCTCAGGTGGTGAAACCAAAGATCAAAGGTGAGACAAGGCGAAACACCCTTGTGATGAGGGAGCTCTATTCTCCTCTCGCCCCCTCTCGGTTTAACTTGGTTCCAAGGTAGTAGTCATGTATAATGCTATTGTATAAATGGGACTTGAACATATCCAGAAGTCTCGAAAGCTGCCAGGCAGGCCTCGACCTGTCAACTTTAGTCATTGGATCCAACATAAAAACCTATCCCACCTGTTCCGCTTGTGGCTAGACATGCTATTTTGAAGAGACTTTACCGTGCAAAAAAAAAACCACCCAACCCGAGCCGTTCCAACACGCGAAAGCACCGGCCTCCCTTGGGCGGTACACAATGCTTGGACTCCCTGATCGCCACCTGCGAGGTCTTCGAAGGCCGAAGTGACGTGTCCAGCTTCCGTTCATGGCCTTTTGAGGGTCCCTCATAGACCCCGACCTGGAGGCGGTTTGTTGGCCCTCAATCTGAGATCTCAGTTCAGATCACTTGGAAGGACCAGGGGGGGTGATCTGTAACCTCGGTGTATCAAAACAAGTGAGGTGGCATAACCGCTGACTGGTGTTCCTCTGTATTATTTTTTATAGATAAGTAGTTTTCCTTTTAATCGAGGTTGATTTCATTTTAATCGAGGTTCAGGCTTTCTGTTTCAGTCATATATAATGATATGCTAGTGATGGATGGGATGGATGGGATGACCGTCGCCCGCCCACTGCCCAATTGCACTCTCATCACATTGTTTCACGCCCTCAGATCGAGTGAGTCTCTTCAGCATGACAAGGATTGTGGCGAAGTATCATCAAGATATTGATATCACCAAAAAAACGGTGTGACTCATACTCATACAGAGTTTTTGAACACTGCTGCCACCCCCCTGTCTTCCCTGCAAACATCCACTCTTCTCTTGGAGTGGCCCCCCTATTTGCTCCAACAAAATCACAACAAGCGGAGAACTTGATTGGCTTTCAGCTCCGTTGGCTTCCTCAAGAAGTAGATCGGTTTACCTAAGAGGAAGTTCACCACAAGGTGATCAGTGAGAGAGTTCACTACAAAAAGGAACCCAAAGCATTCAGCAACAAAGTTGTTAGCCCAGTTGCGCGGCCAAAGCTCCTATCCAGCAAGCAGTCATCCCAGAGTCACATATGGTGTGTGTATATTTTTGGTGACACTTAGACTTGCAGAGCAATAATAAGTTTTTTTAGATTATCGTTTACTTCCACCAAAAGGTCACTCAAGAGATTTGCCTGCTTCTAGTATTTTATGGATTTGGCCTACTCAGCAAAGAAAGGCGCAACTATTGAAAGATGTATTGGCACAGGATGTGTTCTCCCAAGACTTGCCACAAAGGTGAGTGGGATGACTATCAGGGGTTGCAAAGCTGGTAATGCAACATAACATGGCTCGACCTGGTGTGTTGGTGGTGCGTTGGCTCAATGAAGTAAAACTACACAAATTTGACGTGTATTGCAACCCTAAACAACTGTTTCAATATGATTTGACTTGAAACAACGCATGTCCTTCTCAGCCTTCATGTAGGCCACTCGCCACACTTTGCAAAGTGTTGGGCTTGCATCAATGACCTGTTTAGCATGGCATGAGTGCAAATACAGGTGATTGTTTCTGGACACACTTCATTTCCAGCTTGATTGAAAAAACAGTTGCTTGCAGACTGCCATAGGTTATCAATTTCTCATTTCACGTTGACCAGCAAGCCTGTTGGGGAAAGGCAGATGCAGCAGTGCTGAACTTTATTCCTGAGATGGAAATTGTATAGGCAAAGATCGGCACGGTTGAGCTTGGCTTGATGATGTAGATGTCATCCTCATCTCCACCACCTGCCACATCCAACAAGAAGAGTTCACCAGAACACACATGCTCTAGAAACATTCTCTAGAACCCACATTCTCTAAGAATAACTTTCACATTCAATTCTAGAACCAACAGATGAGTCACATGCCACAGTGTAAGGTAAGTCTCAATGTGAATGGTGCAATGGCGCTGATGGCTTGCCTTGATCCCCTGCTCCAGGCCGTTCACACGAATGGTTCTTCACCGTGATGTCTACAAAGCCCTCTTCTTCCATTTCATGCATGAGGTTTCTCAATGTGCATACCTCACTGTCCGAAGTGGTCTTCCCACTCTCAGGCGTGATCTCCAGCACCACTTTGATAGAATCAGTGGTCACACGAAACTGGACAAGGTTTGACCACACATCACCGCCTGTCAAGTAGTGGAATCATGAGAGCAATTTGGGTGTGAGGTTTGATAGGTGTTCATTTTAGGTTTCAAAAGAATTCAATCAGGTTCCTGTCCAACAAGTGTGAAGGGCTGTGCAGGCCCTAACAGAGAAGAATAGCGCTCCAGCTTGGACATCTCCTTTTTTCAACCCCAGGTGCTGATGGTTGCCATGCGCACACAGTGCTCAATCACTGTGTGAAGTATATGGCTTCACCCAAACATGGAGAGACCCTACATGGTCTCAAAGTTCAGCATGGAAACATGCTGCAAAATCCAGCGAGCCAGTCATTGCACTGACCTTTTGTCAGGCGTCCTTGTCCTGGGGACCTCGCTTGGCCAAACGCCGACGGCTGAGCTCAGAGTTCGACATGCCCTCCATGGCACTGATGCGCTGGGGGTGGTTCTCCCACCTAGGATTTGTTTCAGGCACTCTGAGAGTAGATGAATCACAGGGCTCAAGAAGCACCAATCCAAACAGCGTACAACATGTTCAGTCGCAATACGGTATGAGGACTGAATATTTGCAAACAAAACGCTGGGCCCTTGCTTTCTTCAAGACCTCTTTGGCTGGCATATCCGGGTTCTCTCGCTTGATTTTCTTCTGCGCTTCATGGACTACGGCCCAATAGACAGTACGCAAAGATTCTTTCGGGTTCTTTGGATCCTTGGGCTCACCTTCAGGTGTTGGTGGAGGAAGACGTACAGTTTCCTGCGAAAGAATCCCATGGCCCTGTGAGTCCACCTGGCGAAGTCAAGAATGGAGAACATAGAGCCTGAACATATTCACAGTTAGAAGACTAGAAGACCTAGAAAGGACTTTTTGTATAGGTCCCCTAAAACTAGGATGAACACATGAGATTTGCATGGTTTTGCATAGTTTGATTCTGGCTGGATGAGGCCTCCTCAGCATCCTCATCCTCCCCGGCTTCCTGCTCCTCTTCTGGAGCCTGGTGTGTGGATCCCCAAAGACAGTCATTGCCAGGTGTGGGACTGGTTCAGTCCAGATGCTATTGAGTGTGGTATGAACCCTTGCACCAATAGAGGTGTTTTAAAAGCAATGAAAGATGCTTTTCTAAACGAAATTAAACAAAGATGTGCCTCAGGCTTCTCCGGAACCTTCCTGTTCTTCTTGGGAGCACTCTTAGGCTTTGCAGCCACCTTAGCCTTGGCCTTTGCCTTCGCCTTCGCCTTCGGAGCCTTCATCGCCTTGACCTTAGCCTTCGGGGAGGCTTTGGCCTGGGCAATCTGACTCCTCAGGGAGGACTTGGCGGACTTGGCAGTCCGAGGAGTATCAATCTTCTGGTTTTCTTCTGCAATCTCAGGGACTTCTTCCCCACTCAGCTTCCTCTTACCTGGTCTGCCTTTTGGTTTCGGTGTCGCTTTAGCAGTCTGAGTCTCATTCTTCTTAGTCTTCTCAGTCTGCTTCGCCTTGCTAGATTTATCATCACCCCCATTCTTCAAAGCCGAATCGAGTTGGTCTTTGAGGTTCTTCTTCTGGTCATCAGAAAGCTTTCCTTGTGAACCTCCGGGAGAAACAATCCCTTTTGTCTTCAGAGGCAATGCTGGTTTGGCGCCGCTCGAACTCTGCTGGTTCTGATTTGGGCTGACGGCACGCACCTGGGGGCAGCTCTTAAGAAAAGAATTGAACAATAACAAGAACCAATGAATCCCTCAACAACTTGATTACCCATTCACACAAAATATATTATGAATTACACATCTTATCAAATACACATCTCATTGCATTGACTAACCATAGCTCAGGCAGACACATTCTGTGGAGGTGTCTCCAAAGCACCAGGGCTATCATCCAGCATAGCGTTCAGATCCTGCATGCATTTTGTTTCAGTGAGTGGTTAAGAAGCTTCTCACGAACAATGTATGACCAGAAGGTAACGATGTAGTTGGGTGTCCTGGTCAAATCCATGCTGCGCCAGCACTGAAGACAGTGACATGGGAATTGAATCAGCCATGGCTGAGCTAGGTTCAAGAGGCTGAGGGGTCAACGTTCCAAGCACTGACAGCTAAGGTCCAATGAAGCAACTGGAGGCGGAGCATCAAGGAGAGGGAAGAACGGTCAAAAAACTGTGAGAAGTGTGGCCAAGGTGAAATGCTGATTCTTGAAGTGTGCAAATTATTGCAATATGAAAAACACCTGCCTGAACCGGTGTTCTCCCGTTCAAGCTTGGCCACCTTCTCCGGCTTCAACCAGGTCGACTTGCCATAGCCGATCAAAAACTCTTTTCCATCAAGCTCAATGTCTTGATGGGCAACCTGGGTCAAGCGATGAAACCAAATGACCTAATGTTACATAATGAATCAAAGTGTTCATGACATCCGGTTTGTTGAGACTCTACCTCATGAGGTGTTGTGTCTTCTAACACTGGATGGGTCACAGCAAGGGGCCAAGAAAAGGGGCCAAGAAAAGCCTTGAAAGAATCCAACAAGGGGCCAGGAAAAGCTTGAATTTCTGGCCCGGCACAACACCCACGGTTTCTGAGTCTCTGCGGGCTGCGTTGACCAAGAATAGAGAGGTGCCTGGGTGGCGTCCAGGAATACGGGTTTCCACCACATAGGAATCTAACAGCCCTTGCAGTTCCTTGGGCTCAGAGGACCACTTGGTTGCATCCACCTCTGGCTCCTCTGCAGGCACAATAGCTTCGCTGCTGGGCCCAGGGTGGGCTGTGATGTTCGCACCAAACCTTGCACACTCTGACAAACTTGACACGACTAAGATCGTAAAGGTTGTTTTTCAAGCGGAGATCCTGCCTTCACTGGGCTATGTTCTGTTGAATGTTTGTTTTTTTGGGTTAGGAGGATCATACACACCAGGTCAGGTCTGGAGCTTTTCATGTTTGGAGGACACCTTGCCTATGTCTTGTTTATAACGCTGTTCCATGGAACCATCAACACCTTGAGCAAAAGCTATTTTGATCTAGGAGCTTCCGGTCAAAGTCCGTGATCAAGTCTTTCCACTGCTGGGAGTGAATGGGATCCTGGAGGTGGCGGGACCGAACCTCATTCGACAAGCTAAACTTGTAGCGACTCCACCCTTTCTTGCTGGCATCTGTCTCCAGGGTCACCAGCTTCAGCGGAAACTTGTCGAGGTCAATGTCTGCAGGTGG